GGTCATCCGCAGCGTCATGAACAGCGTCAAGTTCGAAGAGAATCTGGACCTGCAGACGCGCTCGGCGCGCTCGGTGGCCAAGCTGATCGAGTTCAGCGTGTCGCCGGCGGCCAAGTCGAATCCGAGCGACAAGATCGTCAAGAACCTGTGCGCGTTTGTGTGCCAGGACACGACGCGCGTGGCCATCTTTGCGGACAGCAAGGGCCTGCGCGAGGGCATCCTCAGCATGAACGAGCCCATCGTGGCGCCGCGCGGTCCCGGGCGTACAAGTGCCAAGGACGAGGCCGCAGAGTCGGAGGAGGTGTTGCAGGGCAAGCTCATCCGCCGTGGAGCTGCAGCAGCGCTGGCGCAGCTCGCCGACCTGTTTGGCGAGCGTCTGTTCGAGGTGGTGCCGATGCTGTGGCACTGCATGAGCAATGCGCTGCTGCAGACGTTTGGCTCGACGGCGGCTCAGGCCGACGCGCTCATCGCCAAACAGGAGGATCTCGGACAGAGCATCCTCGATGCGTGCGCGGTGCTCGATGTCAACCTGCCCAACCTCGGCGGCACGCTGTGCGACAAGGTGGTCGAGCTGCTCCCTGCGCTGACGCTCGCCATCCAGAGCGAGTATGCCGTGGTGCGCTCGGCGGCGGCCAAGTGCTTTGCGGTGATGGCAAGCTGTCTGACCGAGGTGGCGCTCAAGCATGTGGTGGAGCAGGTGGTGCCCCTGGTGGGCGATGCGGCCTCGATCACCAACCGCCAGGGTGCGGTCGAGCTCATCTATCACACGGTGCAGCAGCTGGACCTCAAGATCCTGCCGTACGTCATCTTCCTGATCGTGCCCATCCTCGGCCGCATGAGCGACAACGACGAAAAGGTGCGGCTGGTGGCGACCAACACGTTTGCCTCGCTCGTCAAGATGGTGCCGCTCGAGGCCGGCTTGCCGGACCCGCCTGGCTTTTCGGCCGAGCTGCTGCAGCGACGCGAGGAGGAGCGCAAGTTCCTCATGCAGCTGCTGGACGGATCCAAGGTGGAGCCGTACACGATCCCGGTGCGCATCAATGCGAAGCTGCGCAAGTACCAGCAGGACGGCGTCAACTGGATGGCGTTCCTGGCCAAGTACCAGCTGCACGGCATCCTCTGCGACGACATGGGCCTCGGCAAGACGCTGCAGTCGATCTGCATCCTGTCGTCCAAGCACCACGAGCGGGCGGAGCGGTACCGTCTCACGCAGGCGGCGGATGCCAAGCCGCTGCCGAGTCTCATCATCTGTCCGCCGACGCTGACGGGCCACTGGTGCCACGAGATCAAGCAGTACGCCAACAACCTGCGGCCCCTGCTGTACTCGGGTCTGCCCGCCGAGCGCGCACGGCTGCAGGCCGAAATCCCGCGGTACGACGCGGTGGTCATGTCGTACGACGTGGTGCGCAACGACATTGCGGCGCTGTCGCAGATCGCGTGGAACTACTGCATCCTCGACGAGGGCCACGTGATCCGCTCGGCCAAGACCAAGACGACCAAGGCGGTCAAGCTGATCCGCGCCAACCACCGACTGCTGCTATCCGGCACGCCGATCCAGAACAACGTGCTGGAGCTGTGGTCGCTGTTCGACTTTCTCATGCCCGGGTTTCTCGGCACGGAACGCAGCTTCCACGAGCGGTTTGGCAAGCCGATCATCGCGTCGCGCGACGGCAAGCTGAGTGCCAAGGAGCAGGAGGCGGCAGCACTGGCGCTCGAGGCGCTGCATAAGCAGGTGCTGCCGTTCCTGCTGCGGCGGCTCAAGGAGGATGTGCTGGACGATCTGCCGCCCAAGATCATCCAGGACATCGAGTGTGATCTGGGCGAGATCCAGAAGCAGCTCTACGACGATTTCAGCAAGGAGCAGAACGAGGACGAGGCCGAGGCGTTTGCGGGCGCCACGGCGACGTCTGGAGGCAAGGAGCCGGCGTCGGAGAAGCAGCACGTGTTCAAGGCGCTGCAGTACATGCGCAAGCTGGTCAACCATCCGTCGCTGGTGCTGTCGGACGACAATGCCAAGCACGTGGCGATCAAGCAGAAGCTGCAGCGGAGCGGTGGTTCGCTGAGCGACATTGTGCATTCGCCCAAGCTGCAGGCGCTGCGGCAGCTGCTGCTCGACTGCGGTATCGGCGGGTCGGGCGGTTCGTCGGGCGGTGGCAGCGGCGCGAGTGCGGGTGGAGGAGTCGATCTGGGTGGTGGCGAGGTGGGTGGAGGCGAGAGTGCGGTTTCGCAACACCGCGTGCTGATCTTCTGCCAGCTCAAGCAGATGATCGACATCATCCAGCGCGATCTCTTCGCAGCGTTGATGCCGAGCGTTTCGTACATGCGGTTGGACGGTTCGGTGTCGGCGGAGAAACGTCATTCGATCGTGCAGACGTTCAATGCGGATCCGTCGATCGACGTGCTGCTCCTCACGACGCAGGTAGGTGGACTCGGACTGACGCTCACGGGTGCGGATACGGTGATCTTTGTCGAGCACGACTGGAACCCGATGAAAGATCTGCAGGCCATGGACCGCGCGCACCGCCTCGGGCAGAAGAAGGTGGTCAACGTCTACCGCCTCATCACCAAGAACACGCTCGAGGCCAAGATCATGGGTCTGCAGCGCTTCAAGCTCAATGTGGCGAATAGCGTGGTGAACCAGCAGAACAAGGGTATGGACAGCATGGATACCGACCAGATCCTCGACCTCTTCAACGCACAAGGCGGCGGTGGATGCAAGGAGGACAAGGAGGAGGCCAAGAAGAAGGGCTTCGCAAGGTTGACCCAGAAGCAGATTTTGGAGGGTGCCCAGCGCGGGCCGGAGAACGAGGAGAGCGAGTACAAGCAGATGAGCACCTGGATGCCCGACGAGTAGCCCCTTGCCCAGTCAATCTACATTTGAAACAGCATGACGAAGTGGCTATTGTCGGCGTGTTCGTTTGGGCCGTGTTGCAGGAGGTGCTGGTGAGACGGACCTTTTTGACGGCTTGTCTTGCTTGTCTTTCTTGTCTTTGTTGTCTTGCATATTTGATAGCGAAGGATCGGGGTGGGCCAAGCTGAAAGCTACCTTATCGAGGGTCTTTCCCGACTCAATCGCCTGTGTCTGCTTGACTGCTCGAATGGCGTTTTTGTAGAAGGCCTTGTAGAACGGCAAGGTATACTTAACCTTTTCCCCTCCTTGCAGCAGTTCAACCAGATGGTCGGATTGAAAGATGCCTACTGGGTTCCAGGCTGCACATATTGCTGATGCAGTTGCTGGTCCGACTCCTCGAAGACCAACCAGGATCTCCATAGTCGCCACTACACCATCGAGTAGATCTTCATCGCTCGAGTCCAGTGTGAGCTTTTGTTCGGCTAGATGCGTGGCTGCCTTGCGAAGGGTTTCTTTGACGAGGTCTGGGGAGTTGGAAGAGACGAGTGCGAGGAGAGTCGGTCGATGTTTTTCGCGCCCAAGTTTCCATCGAACCAGCTTGAGCAGCGCCTCTTTGCTGTCGAGCCCACTACATGGTGAAGAATCCGTGCCGTAGGGAAGCGATTGGTACCACGTGTCTAACTCCTCCAATCCAGACTTGGATGTAGACGCCTTGAGTGCGATAGCTGATGCATAGCGCGAGATGTGCTGCGACACAGAAGCCGCTCCGAGCCCATGCAGACTGCGAGACATAGCGAAGATGAATGGTGGAATACACGATCCAGAAAAGCAGTTGGCTCGACCACTTCAACGCCCCAACACCGCGCGCAGAAATAACTCCACTTCCCCCCTCACTCGCGCATTCTTCTCTACGACACTTGCTTGTCCACCTTGAAGCTCACCACACCCTGTGCCAGTGCCAAAACACAGCAACTCGACAGACAAACACCAAAAGCAAAAACGATGGTATTTACACCCGTCGAAAACGACGAACAAAAGGAGCGAAATATAAGAAGGTAGCGAGCCAGAAGAATCAAAAGAGTGCGATCGTGAGGGGCTGTAACTACATGCCCAGATCCGGCAAGAGGAAGGCCTCGGACCTCTCCTTGTTGATAACCACGCCGTGGACATAGTGTACGCTGCGTTCGACGAGCGATCTTCTGTTGTTGTTGTTGTTCCCACCTCGACCGCAGTTGGTGCCCTGCGTGCAGACGACCGCAGCGACGACAGCGGCGATAACAATGATGAGCACGATGATGATCCAGAAGCAGATCCAGCGCTTCTTCCTCGCCTTCCTCGCCGAGTCGACCGCCTTGTTGGTATGCTGCAGTCCCTGCTGCATATCCGTCTCGACCTGTGCGCCCTGTTCCTGGATCACATTCAGTGCATCGTCCTGTTCATCCACCAGGATGGACATCTCGTTGAAGAGCTGTGCGAGCTCGGTGATGGTGCGTTCGATGCGTTTGATGTCCTCGTGACGCTCCTGGACCTCGCGCAGCGCGCCGCGCGCCTCACCGTGCCGGTTCGAGTTGAGCAGCGCCTGCGAAAAGATGGCGCCGCCCTGGTCGTCGTCGAGCGCCGCCTTGATCTCCTGCTGCGACGCGTCGGGCTTGACGATGCGGAACTGACGCTCTGCGCGTGCGCGGTACTTTTGACGGTAGCTCTGCTCCACCTGCTGATACCGCTGGATCGACTCCTTGAAGCGGTTCTTGACCGCACCCACCTGCGTGTTGCGCACGTTCTTGTCGCCGCCCGCGGGCACGCGCTTGTTCTGGCTCTCGAGCAGCTTGATGCGGTTCTTGACGCCGTTGGTCAGCGAAGACGTCTCCTGCTGGATCGAGGCGAGCTGCTGCTCCGCATACTGCGCCGAGGCCTCGTCCATGTTGTTGAGCGAGCGCGAGTGGAGGTCCGAGATCTTGTTGACATTGTCGTCGATCTGGCGGATGGTGTCCTGGATCTCGGAGATGTCGCCGAAGAAGGCGTTCATGTCGCCCGCGGGCTTCTCGGTCACGACGTTCTGCATCTCGTACGAGTTGGCTCCGGCAGCAGCAGGGGCGGCGTAGCCTGTTGGCTGCGCCTGGGGCATCTGTCCGTATCCGGTCTGCTGGGGCGGAGCATAGCCCTGCTGAGGTGGTGCATATCCCTGCTGGGGCTGAGCGTAGGCCTGTGGCTGGCCGTTGGTGTAGGCCTGCTGGTCGTAGGCGCCCTG